TTTTTTTTTTTTTTCACATAATTGCTTTTCAGACTAAAGCTGTACTTTGGTACAGTCAGATCCCTGGAGTGTTGGTGATGAATAGCTCATTGGGGCCAAAGTGCTCTGTTCTTCTGGAATAACTTCTTTGAGCACAGCGTGCAGGTACCGGGCTGGAGTTTAAAGTTGGAAAAATCCCCGTGGATATGATGCGGTGACCTTCTGGACTTGAGCTGCTTGTTGGCTCTGCTGGAAGTCTGCTCTGTTTATGAACCATATGTACCTTTCCTGGTTGTTAGCCTTGACGAAAGCTCAGCTAGGGCTCGGTTTGATTTTCATCATTCTGCCTAAAATTAAACCTTGCGGTGCCGCAGGGGGTCAGGATGGGCAGAGCATCTCGCTGTGTTGGTTCTGCTGGACTCACAAGAACAGAATTAGGGTTTTTTTTTAATAAGTCAAATACAAATAAGACCTAGGACCCAGCAATCTTTGTGTGAAGGCTCTCCATCTTTCTGTCTATTCGAAGAAAATAATCAGTGTGGATTTAGATACTTTAAATTTATTCTGAACGCTGTTTGCTCCGTGAAGCAAATCCTGTTTGAGGGATGATATATCCACTGGGCAAGTAACAGCTCTGTAATAAGTAATATCAACATATATAGTATGTTGGTTGTGGGGGGTGTTTCTAGATCAGACTGTGCATTGATTTCTATTTTCACATACCCAGGGACAGTCTTTAGACCACATATTACATAGTGTATTACAGCTGCACAGTGCTGCAAAACCCCTATACGGTTATTTACTGATCTCCATCCTTCACATCAAGGAGTCAGCACCTCTGTAATCCTCAGTGAGGCAGATCTAGAAATTTACTTCTCAACAGCATCTTCTAGATTAGCCACAAACCCCCACCTCCTTTCACAGGTGCAACCAGACGTTGGGGCAGGGTAACTTGTACTGCACCCGTGGCATCAGTGAGCATTGATTTTGGAGAAACTTGCTGATTTCTTTCTGTTTCTTCCCTTCCCTCTTTAATTTTCCAGCTGACTTCGGCTTCTGTGCCCAGATCACTCCTGAGCAGAGCAAACGCAGTACCATGGTGGGGACCCCCTACTGGATGGCACCCGAAGTGGTGACACGCAAAGCCTATGGGCCCAAAGTGGATATCTGGTCGCTGGGGATAATGGCCATTGAGATGATCGAAGGAGAGCCTCCCTACCTCAACGAGAACCCTCTGAGAGTAAGTGACCATCTTTTGCTTTCAGGTCTTAGAATCATAGAATGGTTTGGGCTGGAAGGGACCTTAAAGATCATCCAGTTCCAACCCCCTGCCATGGGCAGGGAAACCTCCCACTAGACCAGGTTGCTCAAAGCCCCATCCAGCCTGGCCTTGAAGCCCTCCAGGGATGGGGCAGCCACCTGGGCAACCTGGTCCAGGGTGTCATCACCCTCAGAGTGAAAAATTTCTTTCTGAGATCTTATCTAAATCTAATGTCTTTCAGTTTAAAACCATTACTCCTCATCCTGTTGCTCCACTCCCTGATCA